TTAAAGAGGTTTTAGAATCAAAACCTAAACCCAGAGAATATTTTACTACAAATAAATTTGACATAACAAATATTTTCAAAAGATTAGAAAAGAATTCTAATATCAAACCAACTACTATTCAAGATCTCTAGATTGAAATTAACAACCTCAAGAAAGAGATTAGAAAGATTAAAGAACAACAACAAATTCATCAAGTTATTCTTTCCCAACTAGAAGATGAATATGATATTGAGAAAGAAAAACTTCCTGAAGAAAATGATTCTGAAAAGGTCGATTCTGATAATTTGGAAGAGACTTTTATGTGTTTGATCAACAAGGTCAAAATTTAAAAATTTTATATTAACATCAGAATTATTAATGATGATTTTGTTCTTGATACTTTAGCCCTCTTTAATACAGGTGCTGATTCAAATTATATTTTAGAAGGATTAGTCCTTACAAAGTATTTTGAAAAGACTTCTGAAAAACTTAGCACTGCTAGTGGTTCGAAGCTCAAAATCAATTATAAGTTATCCAAAGCTGTTATAGAAAATCAAGGGTTTAAGATTGAAACAAACTTTCTCCTTGTGAAAAATTTGAAAAATGAAGTAATTTTGGAAACACCTTTTATTAAAGCTCTTTTCCCATTACAGATTTTGAAAGAAGGTATTTCTACTTATCATTTAGGTAAAAAAATAACCTTCAAATTTTCTAGTAAACCTTTTACTAAAAATATCAATTCTATTCAAAGCAAAATTAAATCAAATTAATTTTCTGAAAAAAGAAGTTTCTTTTGCTAACATTGAAAAACAATTGAAAAATCCTTCACTTCAGAAGAAGATTCAATCCCTTCTTGAAGATATTCAATCTTCTATTTGTTCTAACTTGCCTAACGCATTCTGGAATAGGAAGAAACATATTGTTAGTCTTCCTTATGAGTTAGATTTTAAGGATAGTCAAATCCCTACTAAAGCTAGGCATATTCAAATGAATGAAGAACTCCTTCAATATTGCCATAAAGAGATCAAAGATCTCTTAAACAAAAAACTCATTAGGAAAAGTAAGAGTCCTTGGTCGTGCTCTACTTTTTATGTCAATAAACCTGCAGAATTAGAAAGAGGTACTCCCAGATTGATTATCAACTACAAACCTCTTAACCAAGCCCTCCAGTGGATTAGGTATCCTATTCCTAATAAAAAAAAATCTTTTTAATAAATTAAATTTTGCTAAGATCTTTTCAAAATTTGACATGAAATCTAAATTTTGGCAAATCTAAATTTGTGAGAATGATAGGTATAAGACTGCCTTCACTGTCCCCTTTGGACATTACGAATGGAATGTTATGCCCTTTGACTTAAAAAATGCCCATTCTGAGTTTCAGAAGATTATGAATGATATTTTTAATCCTTATTCAAACTTTATCATTGTCTATATTGACGATGTTTTAATCTTTTCCCATTCCATTGATCAACATTTTAAACATAAATGTTTTTGTCAATGTTATCAAACAAAATGGACTTGTTGTTTTCAAGTCTAAAATTAATCTCTTTCAAACTAATATTAGATACTTTGGTCACAATATTCATCAAGGAACTATCATTCCTATCAACAGATCTATTGAATTTGCTGACAAATTTCCTGACAGAATCCTTGATAAAACCCAGCTACAAAGGTTTTTAAGATGTCTAAACTATGTAGGTGATTTTATTCCACACCTCAACAATATTGTGAAGCCTTTACATGATAGGCTTAAAAAAAATCCTCCTACTTGGACTGATGTTCATACCAATGTCGTCAAGGAAATTAAAAATAGAGTCAGGGAGATAAATTGCCTTTATCTCCCTATTCCTCAAACTTTCAAAATAGTTGAAACGGATGCTTCTGACATAGGTTATGGTGGCATTCTCAAACAAAGAGTTAAGTCGCATGAGCATATCATTTCATATACTTCAAAACATTAGAATTCTGCACAACAGAATTATTCAACTGTTAAAAAAGAAGTTTTAGCAATTGTTTTATGCGTTTCAAAGTTTCAATCTGATTTATTAAATAAAAAATTTCTTATTAGAGTAGATTGTAAGTCTGCTAAAGAAATTTTACAAAAAGATGTTAAAAATCTTGCCTCAAAACAAATTTTTGCACGATGGCAAACAATTTTAAGTGTTTTTGATTTTGGCATAGAATATCTCAAAGGCACTTCTAATTCTCTTCCTGATTATTTTACCCATGAATATTTACAGGATAAGTAAGATGTCTAGAAAGGCAACAACTCCATCTCGAGGTGGGACTTCCCGAGGAGGAAGAGTGAGGCTTGCCCTTACTCTAAATAAATCAAAATCAAAATCTGCTTCGGCAGATTCAAATTCTGTATCTTCTGGGTCATCTACCCCCATCGAGTCATCAACTCAAAAGACAATCCAAATTGTGGAGTCATCAACCCAACAATCTGGAACTCCAATAGAATCCTCCAAAAAGACTGATTCTTCTATCAAAACAACCAAACAAACTAAAACAGATTATGCTTTACCAATTAGCACTCTATTAGCTGTCCAACAAGGAAGCTTGAGTAGCTTACCAAAGAAATCTTGGGCAGATATTGCCTCTGAAGAAGATATGAAAATAGATTTAACAAGGCTAAACACTATAATCCAAGCTTTTAACCAATCCCAAAAAACAGTTAGCAATCCAAACAAAACAGAAAATACCCTCAACCTTCAAAAAGATAAACAGAAACCTTCAAACCCTAACCATTATATGGCAAAAGGGAAATTCTCTTCAGTCATACAAATGGAACCTGAATTTTGGGATAAAAATCCCTATAAAGCCATTTCTAAAGTTTTTCCACTAGGTTTTCATTTTAGACCATATGCTGCAAATAAAACCAGACAATTTTATGAGTTTATTTTAGTGGATTCAAACTCTGTTTCCATTAAACATTACAAGGATAAAAAAGACCCTTCCATCATAACCCATTCCACAATCCAAATCCTAAAAGTCTTAACCTCTAAGACATTTGGTAAAAATCTGAATTCTTATAAAAACTTTTCTCAACCTTTTGACCTAGTAGGTTATAATTACTGGGATTACATCGATGCATGGACAAGAAGCTTTTGGTTCTAGAATAAACTTAACTGACATTCTTGGTTAATATATTTTAAAAAGAATCAGAGTTATGATTTTTCAAATTGGTTTCTCCAATGGTGGGATTATTTTGGACCAATTGAAGATATCTTTCCTACATCTGTTAAAACATGATATAAGATTTACAAAGGCAGATATATGAGAATCAAGAATTCAAGCAGATCTCAAGTATTTTTCTAATTTTGCTTTAGTATGGGTATTCTCGTGGCAATACAGATATGACAAGACAGAAAATGAAGAAACTCTTCCTCTGCTTCACAGATACTCATTTGTGAAATGGTGGAATCAGTTCAATGCAGACCATGCCAGACCATCTAGTGTTGCCGAATATTTTGAAAAAAAATCCAAAATTATTAAATTTGGCAGATCCAACAACATTTCAATTTCTGAATCAGAAATAAAAAATTGCAGCTTTTTTATCAAGTTGTGATTCAAAAGAAAAAATGAAAAAAAATTTACAAGATGTTCTTCTTCTCTTACAAAGTCAGGATGAGGGAGAATCATCTACAAAATAAAATATCAATGCAAATGACATGTATCAAAATGAAGATGACTGCTTCAGTATTGATATTCAAGAACTTTAATTTGTAACTGTAGTAAATAGTTCCAGTAATCAACAGGAACTGTAGAAACAATTTTATTTTATTTTTTCTTTAAAAGAAGTTCTCGACCATGATGTGAGGCACCCTTTCATTTTACAATTCAAGAGAGTTTTAGAAAGAGAAGCTTCGAGTGAAAATTTCATTGTAAGCCTTTCTCTTTGAGATTTTTTAATAAAAGTTTGTTGTTTCAAGTTTATTTTCTCTCTTCTCCCTCTTAGCCGGTTCTGTTCGGACTACTGTCGTCCGACTTTCTTCTCTTCTCCCTCCACTAGATCTGTACTGATTTTACCGCCGTTCTAGTTTCTGTGATTTAAATTTACATTTATATTCCTGCATTTTTACATTCTGCATTTCATTTAGTAGTCCTGTTACTGCCTACTTTCCTTTCAATATCTTTTTGTTTTCCTTGATCTACTTCGAGTAATCTAGATATATATATTAGTTTGGATCTTTAACGATATTTATTTACCCATATTTGAACTCAAATCTATTAAGTGCGTATTTGTTTTATCCATTATGAATATTTTTTTTGCCAATATTTAATGGGTATTGAACACATTCTCATCCTGGACACATTTTTTATTTTTATATGACACCATTCCATAATTTTTTTTTTGTTTTGGTCAACAATACCCATTTTTTGTCAAAAACATATTCGTTTGTGTAACATTTATTATTTGGCCCGGAGATAGCTGTTGGGCTTTTATTGCTTGTTTAGAAACATAGCTTAATTATTGACAAAAAAAAATTCTAATTAAACGTTTATTTAATGATTTTTTTATCATACAAAAGGTTTATGGGATATTTGACCATAAGTATTATCGAAATAAGTTTACTACATGACTTTTTTCCATAAATTAACAAAAATTTTGTAAGCATCACAAGTTGTTTTTATAAATCAATTCTAATCAAGACCCTGTTTTCAAACAAGAAAGGTGAAGCGAGAAAGCACACAATTGTAAATTTAAAGGAATATTTGATGGACATTATATAATAGAAAATCATGAGATAAAAATATAATAAAATATGAGAAAAAAAAACTTTTGTATTATTTAACATTAAACGCATACTAAGATAATAAACGTACATTATGATATTATATTCTGCTTTTACTTGACACTTTTCAAACAAAGTAAAATTCACCTATTTTTTTTATAGTTAGTTTTTAAATGCTTCTATTTTGATAAATAATTTTTAAACCTGTGTTATTGGGGTAAAACAGTCGACTTCTTTTCTTTCTCCCTCTCTTAGCCGAGGGGAGCAACTTAGAGCTTCTTGATGACTAAAGGCAACAAATAAGTACATTGAGCACAATAGTCTGGACCTTCTATATTTGGTAGCTACATGAGGCGGAGCATTTATAAAGCCTCCAGGTTGGAGCTAGCAATACATCCCCATTCCCCACTATATTGAAGCTGAGACATCTAACAAAAACGCTAATCGTCGACCTAAAACTTGAGCAAATACCAATACATAAACTCAAAATTTCGTCTGAGTTTAGAATCTTCACGTTTCATAGCTGACGTTCAGTAGATTAGTAGGCATTGGATTCTTTGGCTGGGAGATGATTTTATGATACTGGAAACCTTCAGAGCTGACACAAGATTTGTGCAAATTTCAATATATCATCTTCAAAATCACAATTCAGAATCTTCATATGTTTCATATCTCTCATGTTCAGTTGACTCATAGGCATTGGATTCTTCTGCGGGAGATGATTCATAAACACTGGAGCCTTCAGAGCTGTCATAAACAGATTTTTCTTCATAAAAGGAATTTTCTGGTGCTTCAGACTTTTCATGAACTTCAATCTCTCCTGTCTGAACAAATCGCAACAGTAAATGCACCCCATTAACCACATCATAAACCATTAATCCTATCCTACCACCTACCCAACTGCCCATGTGACTTCCAACAAGATAGCCAAGTCTACCAAGCTTTTGCTCTCCAAGGAACCCCCCAGCATAAGTACCAAACAAAGTACCAGTGCCCCTAAGGAACCCTTCTGTGAGGGTACCGCCATAGTATATAGCTTCAAAAAAGTCCCATCCAGAAGAGATGATGGGGCCTATAATCCTCTTGGCTTGACGGGAAGCCAACTTTGCTGCCTTTTTACCCTCTTTCTGCGCATGTTTTGCTGAATCTGTTGGGGACATTCCCTGGGAAACAGCATCAACAAGAGCAGACTCAATTGCAAGACTCCTTGCCCTTTCAACATGAGAAGATCTAATACTGTAAAAATAGAGCTTCACCCCTTCCTTGACAGCACATGCTACAGTTCCAGAACCCATATCAAGGCAATTCAAGATGGTAAACTTTCCACTCTGGGATGATCCCTCCTCCCCAACAAGCTGCCTGCATTTTTCAGCTGAAAGGAGAAACTCATGTGAGCATAAGCAGACACTTCTATTACAATTTGCCAGATAGAGTAATTTGAGCACTTCAACAGTAAAATATGACAATGCAAGATAAGAAAGGGGGGGGGGGGGGATCGTAAGTTTGTTCATCTATTTGTTGTACTCTGGGTCATGACCACGCAGGATGAAAACTACAAACACAACCGGTTCAAAGCAATCTTTAAAATTCACGCTAATAATAGAAAGAGGGAATTTTCCCCTCAAACAATTCGTCATTTCTTGGACTCCACAATCAAGCATAGTTGTTCTGCTCCTATAAACCCTACCTCTATGCCCCAACGAAATTTGAACATTAGATTTCCAAATTCCAGAGTAACAATCCTCCTAGGAATAAACGGGAAAAAAAAAATCCGAGGGAAAACATAAATAAATCAACGCATAAAGAAGTTAAGGAAGGTAAAAAAAAGTAATTGGATTGAAGTAAAATTTTCATGTAGGCTTTGTCGATAAATGTCTTATATTAGTGTATATAGTAATTTGTATGGAGAAACAAGGTAGACAAATTGGAAAGATTTGCGATCTATTGTGGAGGTTCCTGGTCCAGTTCAGATCTTAATTCATAGAATAGTTTGAATAGAGAGGGATTAGTAGAGTACCAGTGAGGCTGAGAACAATGATGGCAGCGACAAAGAGGAGCAATTGAACCCTTCTCTTCTGGAAATCCATGGCAGAAGCAGTTTGAAATGTGCAAAGAGAGGGAAGGGAAGAGTCCTAACGCTTAAACAATGGTGCCTTCTTCACGGCGATGACATTGACCGTTGACCATAACCAATCTAGGCCCAAAACAATCGCTTTTTCTCCCACTGCACGACGTAACCGAGTGGAAATTTTTAAGGTTTCTTTATGACTTATATACGCCCAATATTGGATTTATTCCAGACTTCTTACAGCACGCGATTCGATCCAAGCACAGTTCAAAATTTGAGGCATGATATAGTACACAGTATTATTTGCAGGAATTTTTCTCATTAAAGTGACCTTTTATTTTGTTTTATTTTAAAAGTTAGTTCAGTGTAATAAATGTTTAAATTTAAATTAATAATATACATACTTTTTATTTTTGAAGAATTAATATTAATATTACGGAAGACGTAAATTAATTGACAGAAAATTGTTCGTTGTAATTTATCATCTTGAGTTTAAATTCTACGGTCTATTAAAAAAAATTATACTTATATTTAAATTCAATAAATTTTGCAAGTTTAAAAAATAAATATTTTCTTACATTCAAGATGTTAAATAAAAAATAATTTTTTATAAATGATTAAATCATAAAAAATATTACATTAAATTAAGATAATATTTACAAGGTCAAAAATTTTAATTATCGTTTTCTCAAGGGATTCTAAAAAATCAGACAGAAAAATGTGTAATTTTTCTTTAAAAAATGAATCAGATATACAATCATACTATTTCTCAAGTATATGACTTTTATTTTTTTAATTTTTTTGTTAAATTAGAAATCCTGCAAAGTCTATGACATATAAACAAAAAAAAACAACTATATTTTATGGATACGGTCATTTAATAATTACAAATACTTAATAGTTTATTAAAATTGCGAACCTTACTATAGGAACAATCGAACCTCGCTATCCACAAACAGTGAATTTTGAACTTGTTACTGTGTTTATTGTGTTTTTATGCAATTTTCTTCTTTAAGCTTATATAGCAGTTTAAATTGTAAACTCGGTACTTAAAATACAATCATTGCGAGAATAATATGCCCCTTAACATTGTTGCAACTTAATATACCACACATCACAATGGTTATGGTTAGGTAAAAGCTCGGGTCAAAATCACATATTCTTAAATACGAAACGGAAAGAATTAATCAGTTTATTATATTTAATTGAAAAGTCGATTACAATTGAAGTTCTAAATAACCTAAAATTGACAGTAAAAAAATATACTAATCTAACCGAATCAATCCAAAAACAGCACCTAAAATTTGTTTTAAACTATATTTTTTGAAAGTTTAATTTTAGTAAATCATCAGTATAAATTTTTTTACACTATTAATTAATTAAAATGCACAATCAGTATAAATTTTAAATTAATTATCACAAAATTAATTTTTTAATTATATTACAATTTTTATCAAATGAATTGTTACACTGTTAATCTTTTTAATTAAATTTTTTATTTTTAATCTTAAACAAACATGTTTTTATACAGGTGTATTTACATGAATTGGTTATTTTAGTTAAAATTGGTTGTTTACATGAATTTATTATTGTTAAATAATAATAATCTATACTATTATTAATTGATGTATAAACATATAATATAATTTTTATGTTTATTTAAATTTTCAATATATTAATTTTTTTAATTATATATATTTAAAATATAACAAAATTTCCACTGTTTTAATAGGTTAATGACACAATTTTTAAAACATTTTTTTATGATAAAGTGTTTATTTATTTTAAATTAAAAATAAATTTTATTTATTTAGTATACTTATATATGTATACAAATTAATTTTAATTATAATATAGTATTTATTAATTGTAATTAGAAACGTGAGGACAAAACCGTGCTTTTGCAGCAAGAAAAGGGTAGTTTCGGAAATAGGGCAGACGAGGGTTTATGAAGGGCTTAAACAAATCGGGGTACAAGGAAATGACACAGCCCCCTCCTCCGATTCGCTTTCAGCACCATCAATGGCGGTTCTGAGCAGTTTTAGAGCCCATTCCGTCATCTAAAACTAATCCAATAGCACACCTCGCTCGGGCAAGAACCAACCTTCAATTTTCAGAACCCCATTGCCCAAACCAATGTTGAAGCTCATTTCATCCTCGCGCATCCACCGGCTACACCCCACGGTGCTTCCGCTGCATCGTCCCGCACATGATTCCACCTCACCGCTGCTTAAAGTGCTGAGTTCTCTCGGCGGTTTAAGCCGGAGAAGCGGAGGCAGGTTTTTTTTCTGTTCCGATTCCAGCGACGGCTCCGATCAGGTGGTCGACGCCGAAGTCAAAGCGGCTGAGGAGTCCCAGTCAAAGGCCTCCGCTATTGTTCCCACATATCCCAGACCCGAAGATTATCTTACCGTTAGTTTCGGATTTTACTCATCTTATTAGTTGCTGAATTGTTTTTAACTAGTCTCAAACTGTTCGAGAGTTTACTTGATTTCTCTTTTTCGGAAGGAGTAATAACGTTGAAATTCAAATAGTGTCTGAATGATGAGACAACGGGCGCAAATTGTAATTTATGGCAAAGTTTAAGGATGCAAGTGAAAATGTGATGTTATGAATATAGATATTCTTTACTCTTTGATGCGATATTATGTGTCTCAAGTCTGAACTCAACATTTGTTTTTGGCTTCTGCGATAAGTAAAAGATTTTATTTGTTGAGGCAAATGGAGTGTTTTTCCAACAATTTCCTTGTGGTTTTTTACTCTTCATTGCTTTATACGAGCTTTTTGTAAATGTTGGCTATTGTTGGATTGGAGGGTGATCTTTGGTTAACCAGAGAGAAGATTTGGAGAGGATTTAAATTCAATTTTTGTGTGTAGACTGCAGAAAGGTTTTCCTGCCCTTGTTATACTACTTCAATTCTGAGCCATTCTTAGTCATATTTGGGATGCATTCTGAGTCAATAAAACAAGGAATATGCCCTAGAGTTTTTCTAATGTTTGTTATTTATTTTTTACATGTTTTGAAAAACAATAGAATTGGAGCATGTGAATGATGTCTCTTTTCTATGTTGCTTTATTTTCAGTCTCCTTGATCACTTATATTTTAATGTTCTGGATTCTGGATGTTTATTTCTTCCCCTTATTTTGGGAACAGGTATTGGCATTGCCGTTGATACATAGACCACTTTTCCCAGGATTTTACATGCCAGTCTTTGTTAAGGTATGACGAGTTGTCAAGAATGATGAGTTCAATATCTTATTTTTTGTTTATAACATGCTTCTGGCTGAATCATATGCGAATTGTGATCTATGATCATTGCATGGATGTGACAATGACTGGTTAAATGTAACTTAAAACATGAAAGTATGGTTGTGTAAAATCTGTAGATTCTAATGATGATTATTTTACCATGCATCTAGGATCCCAAATTGTTGGCAGCTTTACAGGAGAGTCGGGAACGACAAGCCCCTTATGCTGGTGCTTTCCTCCTTAAGGATGAGCCAGAGGCTGATCCTAGTACAGTATCTAGTTCTGACACAGAAAAAAATGTATATGATTTAAAAGGAAAGGAGTTGTTTAATCGTCTTCATGAAGTCGGGACTCTTGCTCAGGTATGTGATTTAGTAGGCAGGTTATTAGTTGCTTTATGCCTTTAATGGATTGCTTGTATAATTTTAACAAGCACTTAACATATTGTCTTCAATGACAGATTTCAAGTATCCATGGGGATCAGGTGATCCTGATTGGTCATCGGCGTCTACGCATAACAGAGATGGTTAGAATTGAACATGTTAAAATCAAGAAAGATTAGTGTTTAATTTTACTATTGTGCCATTATCTCCATATTTGTACTTTTGAGTTTTTTTTATTCAAGAGATTCTTATTTCTGATAATCATTTATGTATATGTAATATGTGGTTAAAGTATTTTGATGATCCTTTATCACCATAAACTTGTCTTTTCTGCAGGTTAGTGAGGATCCACTTACAGTAAAAGTTGATCATCTTAAGGTATGTCTTTATCTATTGTTTTATGATTTTATATTTTCATTAAACTGAAAGATTTCTAGTGAGTTATGGTTTTACTTGGTGCTGCAGGATAAACCTTACAACAAAGATGATGATATTATAAAGGCCACATCTTTTGAGGTTATATCAACCCTAAGGGATGTTCTTAAGACAAGTTCCCTTTGGAGAGATCATGTTCAGACTTATACTAAGGTTTGAACCCTTCTATGTATGTGTTTATTGGAATAGATTCCAATAGTACTGTACACTGCATGTTCCTAGTTTTGTTTGCAGCTAGAAATTTTTGATGTTAATGCACACACACACTGGCACATGTGTGTAGCAACAAACACGCCAATGAATTGGTTCTATCTTGCTTAAACAACCCTAATGTTCTTCCTTAGGTTAAATTGATTCATTCTATTGTCCAACAGCCCGATCAAATGTGGAAAATTGGTAATATCAATCTTTGTGATAATTTTAACACCAGTGAACTCATAGAGGGAGAAAGAAGAAATATAAAATGATTAATCAAGAACAGAAAATATTAGGTAAAGAGTGGCTAAGTTATTATTATTTTAACAGCCACAATTTTAGATATCTTGATAACAATGAATCTTAAAGATTTTGGCTGTACTTTAAACAAGTTTCTGGCAATTGTCTTGTAGAATGATTCCTAGTTTATGGATTCTTGTTGTTTTGTCTTTCTTCTATGCAACTCTCAGCATGTCACCCTTGTTGAAATTATAGCTTTTAGGTATAGATGGAGGAAAGGGAGATAGAATAGAGACTAAATACTCCAAAATCAAAACTACCTCTTTTTTGTATTTATTTGTCTAGAGAGAAAAGAAGATATTTGTTTCTATTTACCTATCAATGTAGAAGTTCAAAACAATATTAATTACTACTATTCCACTAATATCCCATTGTTCATAACTTCATATAGAAATTCTAAGTATAATAAATAACACATTGGTACTGGTTGAGTAGTTCAAAGGTCAAAGAGAGGTCACTAATAAAGGGAAAATTAAGAAGTTTATTAAATAATTATAACAAAACGATTGGATTCCTTGGTCTACATAATTTCTTCTTCCTTGACAGATAAGTAGAAATTTGAAGTAGTATTAACTTGATATGATTTGATGTGTTACAAAGTGATTGAAAACACAAAACACTTACCTTTATTATATTAAGACTAGGTTTTAATCCTTACTAAATAAGGA